CATCCTGCTGCAGGTCACAGCGTAGCTGCAGACTTTAACCATCCTGCTGCAGGTCACAGCGTAGCTGCAGACTTTAATCATCCTGCTGCAGGTCACAGCGTAGCTGCGGACTTTAATCATCCTGCTGCAGGTCACAGCATAGCTGCGGACTTTAATCATCCTGCTGCAGGTCACAGCGTAGCTGCGGACTTTAATCATCCTGCTGCAGGTCACAGCATAGCTGCAGGTCACAGCGTAGCTGCAGACTTTAATCAGACACATCTAAAGACTGTGCTTCCTGATTTCAGCCAGCATGTATTCTTAGCATGCCTACAGAGCGGTGGGCCTGCTGGAGCATCTCTTACTGCTCCTGATTAGGAAAAACAAGGCGCACATGTTCAAAGGTTTTATCTTAGTTGCATTACTGTGTGAGGATACGGGCTAATGCACACAGGCACACTACAGAAACCAGATAAGCTGAATATGTGGAGCACACAAACTCGTAGATGTGGTCAAATAATGGACAGGAAACAAAATCAGGTTCACAGACAGAGGAGGGTTATGAGCTGAAGGCTGCATTTAAAACCATGTGCATAACCGTCTATGGACTGAATTTTATAGAATCTGGAGAAGTTAAAAAATGATTTCAAAAACACACTTTGAAGTGTTTGGATGGTGTTAAATGTTCCCATGGTTGTGATGTATGTTACATAATGAGTTTTACTGGGATGATGTGTGAACATGCAGACGGACTGAGAGCAGCTCTCACAGCAACGCTGCCTTTTAGAAAACGACCAATAAAATATGTTGAATTTCAGACGTTTCAGGTTTTTGTTCACAGGAACTGTTGGTTTGTGTTCTAGTTGAGTACATGTTCTCACCCCGAGATAACAAGACTGATAATGTGATGTCGGAGTTTTCATGAACGCAGCTCTGACCTGGATGCTGTTTTCTCTGACTGAGCACATCTAAGTGAACTAAACAGGTGGAGTAATGAGTAAAGTAAATGCTTACGAGTAAAGATGAGTGTAACACCCACATCGTGCTCTTTAACAGCAGCTGGATATGAAGCTGCTCTCAGCTCTGTACCGGCTGCAGTACTCTGGGGAAGTTTGGATGTATAAAAAGCCAGGTTAACTCTCCCTTCATCCTCTTCCCAGGATCCAGTACAGTTCCCATGGTGCTTACTCCCAAAGCAAACTGGCTCTGGTGCTGTTCACCTACTGCCTGCAGGAGCAGCTGACTGCCAGCAGCTGCTGTGTGACGGTGAATGCTGTGGACCCAGGGATGGTGGACACGGCGCTGTACGATAACCTGTGGACTCTGGTGCAGCTGCTCAAGAAGCCGGTAGCCAAGATATTGTTCAGGGTGAGTTATTCATCGTCTTCAGCTGGAAGGTTTTCCTCTGTTATTATTACTCTGTGTTCATGTTTTGGAGATTATGTATCTGAATTTCAGGAGCAGGACCACGCCTCCTTCCAGCTGTCATCTACAGAGGTTCCCCCAGTTCAGCTG